AAGGCCTCTAGATAAACTATTAAGATTTGGCCACTGGGTGTGGAAAACTCTTCATCTTGTGACCAGCTAAGGTGAACCATGTTAAGTTTCTTGCTCATCAAAACTGCCACCTACCAACCCAGAGTGGTCTGCCTCTTTCTTTGGGGTCTCCTTGCCCTCCACGTACAGGGTCCAAATTTTAGATTTCACTCTGGAATCTCCTGAGGTTGCAAGCAAATACCTACAGAGTCCAGCTTAGGAAGAACACCCCCACGCTTCATACCTAAGTTCCTCTTAGTCATTTTTCCATCCACTGACCCCCTCACTCTGCCCTTTGGCTATACATCCCCAGCTGCCCCGGTTGCATTCAGAGCTGAGTTCAATCTCTCTTCCCTACTGCAGTAATCGTGAATAAAGTCTTCCTTGCCTGTTTCACCTCTGTATGATGCAATTTTTCTTAAACAGATTTACTTTTAAGGTCAGACTGTCGCTGGGTCCCATGTTACCAACTGCCTGTGACTAGAATAGCCATGTCTTGGCTGAACTGAGATAGTTGCAATGAATGGCTGACACAGGACCATAACCATCAATGTTGTCCCTTTTCACTGTCTGAAGTACCCTGGTTGGGACAATAAATCTTATGGTTACCCACACATGGTGTGAAATTTATTGGCTAGAGGCCCTCAATGGTAAGAGAACGTGCCGGACTTTAAGAATGGCGCGACAGCCCTGACCAGCATGGCTCAGTGAGTTGAGAGTCCCCCGCAGAGTGAACGGTCACCGATTCGATTCTTGGTCCGATTCCCTGTCAGGGCACATGCCTGGGTTGCGGGCTGGTCCCTGGCTGGGGCACGTGCGAGGCAACCGATCCATGTTTCTCCCATGTATCCATGTTTCTCTTCCTTTCTTTCTCCCTCCCTTCCTCTCTCCCTAAAATAAATAAAAACAGTGCTAAAGCAATAACAAAGGACAAAAGAGAGCAGATTCATTAAATGAGGATACTCCTTTTAATCCTGTCTCCTGAGGTACTGTTACATCTGATTTAGAACATTTTATGTCCAAATTAAAATGTTTCTCCACAAGAAAAAAACGATTATTTCCATCACATCTCTCAAACATGTTCACACATGGCCTTTATTGTGCCTTTCCTTTGATCACTACAGATGGGTTTATCACAGTGCACTTGCCCAGAACGTGACAAGCATTCCAGAGTGGGGAGGAAAGAGGACGGTGGGGGGAGCAGATAGAGAGACAGAGACCAGGAAGGCCAGTGTGGTACAGACCTTAGGAAAAACAGATGAGATTGGGGAATCAATACTGAATTCTCTGCTGAATTAAATTAAAGGACTGAAATGAATTTACAAAACAACAATTGAAGCTGACACGTCCCCTTAACAGGTCGGGACAAATCAAGACTGAGCTGTGCCTTCACCTGCTATGGGGAGAAGGCAGGACAGGAGGGAACTCCCTAAAGCCTTTCAGCGGGGGCGCTGGGTTTCTTAATTGTCTTTTGTCTGGAGGCCAAAGGGGAAAATTCCTCATCACGGTGAGGTTTGCTGAGTGGTTTTGAGCAATGGGCTTGTTAGCTACCTCTCCTTACCTAAAAAAATACCTGTCAGAGGCCCTTATGCTGCAGAGCTTTCACAGGTCCCCGGGGATGGGGGAGAACAGCAGGCTCCCCGGGTAGGGTCTCAGGCACTGAATGCCCCGGTGGGGTGCGGGCGGCGGTGGCAGGGGTGGGGAGGAAAGGGTTGGGTCAGACAATCTCCAAAGTTCTCTCCAACCAGAAAGTCTAAGATCCTGTCCTCCAGGGGACTCTCAACGTGGATTCGTTAACCCCATTTTACAGGCAGAAAGAGTCAAACGAGGAGAGAGCAAGTGTACTGAAAGGGAGCTGGATGGAGCATCTTGTCCTGCTAGATCAGATGGTTGATTTAGAAAAACACAGCCAAGGCCACCAGATGGATGCTCTACAAAAACCTTGGCCCTCAGTGTGACCCTGGCCCTGCAGGGTCACCGCACGTGGCTGGCGGCTGGTTGGAAATGCAGAAGCTCAGCCCCCACCCCACAGGCAGTTTTTAACAGGACTCAAAGTGACTCACATGCACTTCAGAGTTTGAGAAACACAGGCTCGAGCTGCGGATTACATTGTAACAGCAATACTCTAAAAAGCATTTAAAACTATGAACTAGCTTTTGACAGAGAATTCAGATGCTTTTATGAAATCAGGGCAGATTTCCAAGTCTGAGGCATCATTTCCCATACCAGAACCCTCTACCAAACTACTAAATGTACTTGTTTTACAATATGAGTATAAATCGGATAATAATAATAATAGAAAAGGGAACTCCATCAATTTCAGACTGAAGCTCCAGCTCCCCCTCCTTCTTTTCTTCTCCCAGGATCTCCTGTACACAGGTTTGCATTAATAACAACCTGGGATGTACAGCACATTGTCAGCATTACGTTTGCCCGCAGAGGAGGACACCAGCCTTGTCTGGGTGGAGATATGAAGTGGGTTTGGTAGTTCACTGGGCCCGCATGGCCACGTTTGCTCTTGACTTGTAACTGCATCAGCTAGGCATTTGCAGAGAACGTCTTTCCCTTCAAACTGGGAAATACTGAATTCTGATTTTATCTCACTGATGACCTGACTAGGAAGTGACAACATAGCATAAACCTGTGTTAATAATTTTTCTCTTTTCTTTGTATTTGGAACAGACATTGCAGAAATCATTTGGTGTGGAATAAAGTTTTCATTAAGTCTAATATATGGGTAGCTTTGGGATATGTTTGCAAAGAAACAGGAAGAATTCAGTTGAAGGTTTTAGAGGAACCATATAAAATTGCTACTTTAACAGGTTAAAAAGAGTAAAATAATGGCAATTTCATTTAGTTAAACTAATTAGAATGTTTTAGTTTATAATTCTTTGACCTTTTAAGAGAACTGAAAAGTGCTATTTGTGGAGGCTGGGTGGTTTCTTCTTGGACACATTTTTTGGAAGTTGGGGCAAATGCTTTGAAGGCTAGATAACCATCTATTCCAAGCAGCCAGGGAGCAATGGGGTGTTTGAAGGTCAGGCTTGGCTATAGATTTAGGATGAATGCATGTATCCTTGAAGAAGTGTTATTACCTTCTAAATCTGTAAAATATGTAAATGGCACTAGACAATGACACACAAACTGGGTTTCGTTTCTACTTCCTTGTTATAGTCCTGTGTACTGAATACTTGAGCTCTGATAGGAATAAGAAGAGATTTTTCCCATTATCAAAGCAACACTGCTCTTTAGAAGGTGGGGCAGGAAAAGTCAAACTGAAGTAGGAGGATCTAGTGCCTGTCGTGGTTAATTATCACAACTATACTGTGGGCATACTGTGTTCCATGGTTCCCTGGGCATAATTTAATGAGAGCCCGGATCGCATCGTGGTGTAAGTACGTGCCTAAGTGTGCTGCCTGGGACCACACTTTGAGCAGCAACATAGGAACCATGTGTTATTTGTGACGGTATGCCTGGTGCCTTTAAGGGAGCTTGGTGCACAGCAGACATTAAGGTCTGTTTTACCTCAAATTTTAGAATTTGTTGAATAAATTATGACTTTTAATAACCAATCACAATAACAAAAATTGAAGATATTGCCTTAGAAATTTTTGTGGATTTGGAAACCAATTTGCCAATAAATATCAAGGGTCATATCCTAAGAACCAGTAATTATATAAGACATTTATCTTAGAAAAGGGTCTAAGATCTAAAAACAAGATTAGGTTAAAAATATTGATGTAAGCATCATATATGAGTGGAAAAAATGGCAAACAACCTAAGAACCCAAGAGTTATATTTTAGAGAAATCAGCATGTTTTGAAAAATGTAATAACATTGGAAAATGCCCAAGAAAAGTGGAAGAGAAAAAACTATGACACTATGTCCTGCTTTTTTTTAAACTTAGCATTACATTACAAAAATGTCCCAAAGTATTCAAAATCCTGCCAAATTTATGTTTGTAATGACTATGGAATATTCTATTGGATGAAAATATAGTAAGTTGTTAACTACGTTTCATAAATACACATATGTACACACACTAAAAATAACACAAATGGACCGATCATTTCATGCCCATTGTTGGGCGCCTTCCTTTCCTCAACTTGAGAGCTCGTCACATGGACGCACACAGACCTTCTTCAATTCTTTTTAATGCCAGGATAGTATTGCACTGCAGAGATTTATGTTTATTTTTCAAAACAACTTTTATTGAACCTTTAGGCTATTTATAGCCTTTTGCTATTTAAACAGTCCTACAATATTTAACTTTGACATACATTTTTGTGCATTTATGCAAGTGTCTCTGTGGGAGAAATTCTAAAATTGCTGGCTCAAAGAGAGTGTTCATTTAAAAAATTTGAGTAGACATTACCTAATTGTCCTTCAAATTATTATACCAATTAACACTCTTTCAACACTGTAAGAAAGTAAACTGCTTCATTTTAGAGTGGGAATAACAGACAGGGTATCATCGTGTGTGTCTGAACACTGCTACAGCACAACGGCAACGGCAGCGCGGGTCTCCTTCCATCCTCGCCTACTTGCCACTTTTTCTTCCTTTCCACCTTCTCTCCTTTTTCCTTTCCTTCCTTCTCTCTTTCTCCTCTTCCTCCTTCCCTTCCTTCTATCTTATTATTTTATCTAATGGGAGAAGAGATAGAGGGAAAATTAATGTGAAGGCTGGTGAAGAATTCACGTGGCATTTAGAGAAATGGAAGGATGTCCTGGCTGGTGCAGCTCAGTGGATTGAGCGCGAGTGAACCAAAGGGTCTCTGGTTGGATTCCCAATGTAGGGTATATGCCTGGGTTGCGGGCCAGGTCCCCAGTGGGGGGTGAGTGAGAGGAAACCACACCCTGATGTTTCTCTCCCTTTCTCCTTCTCTTCCCCTCTCTCTAAAAATAAATAAACAAAATCCTTAAAAAAAAAAAAAAAGAAAGAAATGGAAGGGGACAGGAAATGGGCTTAAACTGGAAGCAGAGTGCTGGTTTTGGCAGCACATACACTAAAGCTGAACAGATACAGAGAAGATTAGTACGGCCCCAGCACAAGGATGACGCACAAATTTGCAAAGCGTTCTATATTTTTATGTTAACTATGTGAGGTGATGGATGTGCTAACTAACCTTACTGAGGTAATCATTTCACAATGCATACCCATATCAAATCATCACATTGTGCACCTTAAACTTACACAATGCCATAAGTCAGTTATAGCTCAATAAAAGCGGGGGAAAAAGTTGGAAGCAGAGTGGGATGGGGGACCCCTGGGAGTCCACAGTGTGGGGCAGTCAGACATGCTGCGGAGGACGATTTGGATGTGCATCTCTAATCTTCAGGAGCACAACAGTCACCTGGGAAACTCACTAAAAATGCAGATTCTGATTAGGTATGTCCGGGGTGGGCCTGAGATTCTGCCTTCCTAATGGGTTCTCAGGTGATGCTGACGCTTCTGGTCTGGGACCACACTTTGAGGAATAGGGCTTAGTTGATAACGCCCATTGCCAGGAACAACAGGCAGGAACATTACCAAGCAGTGGGCAGGGCTGTGAGCATTACTATTTAATCTTAATATTTGCCTCCTGCACATACTACAAGGTGGTAAGGTAACGATCTGGCTCGGCCTCTACTGCTTCACCCACCAGATTCAGCCTGGCCCACAACAGCATCCAGACCAAACGCTGCATTCAAACCTATGCTTATTTTTTCCACTCTTTAAGGAACCCTTATCTTGAAATCAGATCATATTTTATTTACTTCATCTCCAAAATTTAGTAATAACTTCTGTCTCACAGAGTCCTCCAGCATTTCCTTGAGTTACATAACATCTGGTGTTGCTGACATTGTCCTAGGTTTAAGCGGCAATTGACGGCTCTAGGTTCAGTCCTGAGGGTGCCAGCAACCTGCAGCTGGTGTGACTGAGGCCTCACCTCATTCTTTTCTATAGAGACTAGAACAAAATGGGAACTATTTCCCGAAGGCCCCGCATTAAAGTGGTTTCAATCTGGGCTTTACAGCATTGCAACTGCCTTTGGAATTAAACTTCCCCACATTCCACTGAAATATTGTTTGAATATTGTTACATTCCAGCAAAATTTGGATTGTTAATGTATGTTTAGGATCCAGAGCATTTTATACCTAATTCTGTAGGATGATTTCTCTGCCACCAGTCCTTGTAAATTGAGGGAAATAGCAATGCTAACTTAAAAAATTCACAAATTTAAGTTGACAGGAAAGCTTCTCACTTCTCTGATCCAAGCCAGCGTTTGATGCTGGGGCATCCAGATCTCCCCTTGCTTAGTTCTGCCTAAGGATAGAGACACAGCAAGACACCAGTAAACACATGTCCACACACACACAAGGTAGGAGCAAGAGCTCACATTTGGTGCCTTAGTAGAACTAGTTAAGGCATATTCCCCTTTTCAAGACATAATTAAAAGGACAAGACTCAGAATCACACAGGCCTTAAGAACTTTGTCACCAATGAAGCTGTTGACCTAGGAAAGAGGTGAGCATTTAAGAGATAGGTTCCATGTGAGTAAAATGGTGTGTTCCTCCAAAGCTTGGGGGGACGCGCTTTAAGAGTGACAGATACAGGGTAAGGATACATGAGAAAAGTTTTTAATATGCTTGTATTCTCCTTAAAATTTGCTCTAATTAGGGATTATTAAAATATGATGATTAGCAATTAGGTTGTTTTTATGCTTAATTCATGCCTTCATTTGCATTAGGCAGTTCTAGTTGAGTAGAAAATCAGAGAAGCATAATATTTCTTTGCTTTTCCAAAAAATTAGGCTGTTTGAACTGTATGTTTATAACCACCACCAAACTACTATCTACCTGATGTGTGAAAGAAAACAAATAGCTTTTTGAGAGTTCTCTTTACATATGCATGCATAGAAAGCTGTAAAAACCTTTATTCCTTTGTCTTGATGAATTAAAAGAAATATGAACATAGGCGCTTAGAGGCCTGTCCCAGAACCACTGAATGTCAAGACTCTTTCCCACTAAAGATGCTGAAGGAGTTGCTTGAGTTTCATGGAGAAGCAGGAAGCACATAACCATGGTCTGCTCCGAGGTCGCCCTTGATGTGTGTTGGGCTGGCAAGCTGTGCCAGGTATTAAGCTACTGTCCCAGCTCCAAACCCACTCTTCAGTCCTCAGTCTGTGACCCTGGCCTCAAGACTCAGCTGACCATGATTTAGCTTTGTCTGCTGCTCCCTATTAGGCCCCTTCAATAGGGGGCGCTGCAGGGAGACGGGAAAGCTGTGGCAGGAAAAAAAGGACTTGCCCTCCAATTCCAGTGACTGCCATGCTGACAGCACCGCGTCTGCCCTCAGCAGCACTGAATCCAGTCTGCGGTCTCTCCAACACAGGCAGGCCCCGCTCGCTGTTCCCCCTCAGGGGCGCTGACGCTCTCTTCTCCCAAACCCAGAGTCCCTCCCCAAGCTCAGACACGGGCACAAGCCCCGTGGCGGCCCCTCCCCTCCTCAAAGGCCTGCATCCCAGCTCCCTCTGCCTCTGCTCCAAGCTCTCTGGGGGAATGAAGCAGCACCTGGCGCATTAGAGCGTGCCTAACTTAGACAAGTCCATCGACAGTGACTGCGCTTAAACGGAATCTTCAGAATCCTCAGGTGCAAATAACTATATAAATAACTTTCGCAAATTATAAAAGGGCTCTGATACAATGAAGAGATCATCCCATCCAGAATAGAGTGGGGCATGCAAAAGGCTAGTAGCAAAATGTATACCATAGAAGAAGGAGAAAAATCTAGATCAGACTGGACAAGTCATCCTCTAATTGGGTAATCCCCAATTCTTAGAGAAAGAGATTGTGCCCACTCCCATCCTCTGTCCCATTTCATTTAGCCATCAGAATTTATTTTGATATTCTCCATTTGTAAATTGTTCACATGCCAGAGGGGCAAAGTTGATCACACTCTATAAATCCTTGAGATTTAGACAGTTTTGAGTTAAGAAACCTCTCCAGGTTGTGGAGAAAAGGGAACCTTAGTGCACTGTTGGTGGGAATGCGGACTGGTGCAGCCACTGCGGAAAGCAGTTTGGAATTGCCTCAAAAAGCTAAAAGTGGACCTGCCTTCTGACCAGCAATTCCACTGTATACCCTACGAATCCCAAAACACCAATTGAAAAGAACCTATGCACCCCAAGAGTCATAGCAGTACAATAGCAGTACAATTTACAATAACCAAGTGCTGGAAGCAACCTAAGTGTCCATCAGTAAATGAGTGGATAAAACAACTATGGTACATTTACACAATGGAATACTACACAGCAGAAAGAAAGGAGGAGCTTCTACCCTTCATGACAGAATGGATGGAACTGGAGAGCATTATGCTAAGTGAAATAAGCCAGAGGGCTGAAAGACAAATATCATATGATCTCACCTAGAAGTAGAATCTAATCAACAAAACAAGCAAGCAAGGAAAATATAACCAGAGACATTGAAATAAAGAACAAACTGGCAGTACCCTGAGGGGACGGGGGAGAGGGATAATGGGGGAAATATGGGAAGAGTGGTCAAGGAACATGCATAAAGGACACAGGGACAAAGCCACAGGGGGTAGGTTCCAGGGTGGGAGGTGGGGGTGGGTGTGTTGGGGCGCATTGGGAGGAAAATGGAGACAACTTCACTTGAACGACAACAAGAAACCTCCCCACATTGTATTACATTCTTTCTTGGCTGTTCAGATAAGATTCTACCACCTGAACATGGGCAAACCAACCCCTGCCCCAAGGCTAATGAGTTTCCACATTGAGCTGCTAAGGGATGCTATTCTGTGTCCTGCTTTTCTCAGTGTATCTTTAACAGTGACTGTACTTAACACCCTTTGGTTAGGAGTTAACCATAAAAACAGGAAGTCAATACACTGCTGGTTAATTAGTGCATGGCAGTAAGAAAACAAACTCATTAAATTGGCCAAGGGCTACCCTGTCATTTATTCCTGAGAGAATTTAAAGCTTTTATTGATTAATTTACTTTATCTTTAGAGAGAGGGGAAGGGAGAAAGAAAGAGAGGGAGAGAAACATCAATTGGTTGCTTCTCTAACACGCCCCAACCAGGGGCAACCCAGCAACTCAGGTGTGTGCCCTGACTGGGAATTGAACTGGTGACTTCTTGCTTTGTGGGATGATTACCAACCAACTGAGTCACACCAGTCAGGGCTATTCCTTAAAGAATTTAAATCAAAATCTGCCTTCAGTTTTGCTTTTATCTCTTCTTCAAGGGCCATATGCTTTTAATTTTAAAAACAAGAAACAAACATTTAATTCTAATTAAAATCAAAAGGTTGTATATTCTCTAGGTAGTTCAAGTCTTACCTTTGAATAAAGCTAGACCCTTAGAAAACGACATGGCTTCGTTCATCATAGGACAGCTTTTATCACCAAAGAAGCCACCTATAGGAAGTTCACATCTACATTTCCTACAAAACTATTGTTGAGAATGTGACTTCAATAAATGTGTTCTATATAAAATATCATGTGAGAAGCTGTCTTCCTTGAGGAACTGGTAACACATTCACATCTTTTTCCTTTTTAAGATTTAAAAAATTTATTTTTAGAGAGGGGAAGGGAGGGAGGGAGAAAAAGGGAGAGAAACATCAATGTGTGGTTGTCTCTCGTGCATCCCCAACTGGGGACCAGGCCCACAACCCAGGCATGTGCCCTGGACTGGGAATCGAACCACTGACCCTTTGGTTTGCAGGCTGGCGCTCAATCCACTGAGCGACACCAGTCAGGGCCACATTCTTGATAGTGAGTATTAGGAATTGTGCCAAGTTTCCCTTTTCTGACTTGGCTTCCCGGAAGCTCAAAACCAAGCTATACACTCAGCCACAGCAATTATGTTCACGCATTGACTTCCTCGCTTTTCCTCTGATCTTCATCTTTTCCCCTCTGTTAAATTAATATCACACTTGACATAATAATGGACTAAATGAACTCCTTTCAGGTGTTAGAGGAAATCTCTGATCAGCAAAGTATATTATTGATATGCATCAACCGGAAACTTGATTTTCAAATCCTTTTACCCTGGCCCAAAGTTAGCCAGCACCGAGGCGCTGCAGG